ATTAAAGGGATTTCTCACTAGACCTCAAGGTCTAACTCTCAGTTTGGTGTTTTAAAAATGTGCACCACAGGTCGGGCTCAACCAGAGAAAAAGGGGAAAGAGAAATTGTGAAGATATATATATATATATACACACACACACACACACACATATATATATATATAGATTTGGGATCATGTGAGACCAAGTGTTTTTCGTGAGACCCGTAAGACCAATTCTCAACCCTTGGATTAGATCTATAATCGTCAGATCTGAACATTCATAAATGCCACGAGACTCCTCAATAATTACAAAATTGTCACCGTGCAATTTAGACCATTAGATCATTAACTTATAAAGTTGATCAATGAACATAAATTGGTCTTACGGGTCTCACGAAAAACCCTTGGTCTCACATAAACCCAACCCTATATATATATATATATATATGTGTGTGTGTGTGTGTGTGTGTGTGTGCTTGCATGAGTTATTGGGATTTTGTTATGTATTCAAGTGTTGTATAGAGATTTTGTGGAAAATTTTGGTAGCTACTTTGTAATGTAGCTTTTGTAATTAGTGGGACCAGTTGTATAACTTATACTTCTTGATATATAGAAATATATGTCTTTATGCAAATGTGATATTGGGTTGTTACACAAATGTTTGTCTAGTGTTTGGTACAACTAGGACTGGACATGACCAGCAAGACAAATTGCCCACAAAAGTTATTTAATGATTTTATATATCATATAATAATTATAATTAACACAAATAAAGTAAATAATTAAGTAATTTAATTTATAAACATTTTTACACAATTTTCATATACATAAATACATACATATATAATAGTACCGAATTTGAATGAAAAATTTGATATAATTAATGATAGTTAGAAAAAACCTGATTCATACAAAGAAGAAATTATGTTTTATTCGGTTTGGAATATCATTATCAATTGGCGAATGTGGTGTTGGTTATGGTGGAGGTGGTGGTGGCCGACGTTACCAGTGGTGGTAGAGATGGACGGTGGTGGTCGGTGGCTGATAGTGGTTGTTGAGGGCATGAAGATGGAGGTAAGATGTTAGATATTGGTAGTGGTAGTCGATGGTGGTGGTGGACAGTGGTAGTTGTAGTCGGTGGTAGTGGTTATGGTGGAGGTAAGGTGGCCCATGGTGGTAATGGTGGTGGTGATGAATAATGATGGTTGTGGAACTGGTGGAGAAGGTTGTTGAAGTAGAGAAAAAGGTGCAGGTGGCCAATAGTGGTAGTGGTGGTGGTAATGGACGGTGGTGGTCAGCAATGGTTCTGGAGGTAGCAACGGATGGTGGTGGTTGATGGTCGACAGTGGTTGTGGAGGTAGTGAAAGAAGTTGTTAAAGTGGAGGAGGAGGTGGAGGCGGCCGACAATGGCTACCATTCATGGTGGCAGCGATCGCGACTATAGGTGATGACCACAAAAAATACCATATTAAAATCTATATATATTCTATATAAAGCAGAATCCTACACATATGACGTGGCATCTTCTAAGCGCATTCTTCAAATTTTCCTTTTTTCTCAATTTATGTGCATTCTTCTAATTTTTCAACAATTTAGGGTTTAAAACTCCAGACTCTTCATCTCCTCTATCTAGGTTTAATTCAAGACTTTTCATCTTCTCTATCTAGGTTTAATTACAATGTGCAGCCCCTCTCATCCCTTTGTTGCTCACTTGCAGAGGTTAGGGTTTCAAATTTTGACAAAATGTTCTTTGAATTTCTTGTAATTGCTTTTTGAAATTCTCTGTTTATTTGTTGCCAATTTGTGTTCTTGGGTAATCGTTCATTTTTTTGTTTGAACTTCTCAAATTTGAGAACTTATTTGCTTCTACTTAAAAATTGAGCTTTTTTTTTTGTATTGAGTTCATCAAACGGAAACTCTTCACAAACCTTTCATATCCACTGTTGGAGATTTATAGCATCTACAGCACCGATATGATGCATTCCTAGCCATTGGATTCCATCGACTTACCCAAAGTATGGCCTAAAAATGAAGGGTTTTTGTGGGATTGAGTTCATCATTCACAAACATGTCATCTATTATTGGAGCCTTAATGCATCTCGATCACCCGACTAGATGCTTTCTTAGGCCTTAGCCATTGGATTCCTACACTGGTATAAAAATGGTGATTTATGGAAGAATCCCTAAGAAATTGGTATGTTAATGGAAAGAGTTTATCTTTTGTTGTATTCATGTATAACAATATTTTTGTCTGATATCGCCAGCCCTAAAGTTTTCCAGTATAAATATTGGTGCAACCATCATCTAAAGAACCTGCTCAGTTCTCCTTTGGCTGGTGTCTTTACCTCGGTTCTCTTTGTTCTCTAACTCTGCAAGCGAGGGACACATTGGCTATCGAAATCTAATGATATAGCCACTTGGTACTTCGTTGGTTTCATAGGTGTAATTTATCTCACCTTTTCTTTAAGTTGTAAGTATCTATCTATATTCAATTAATACTATGTTTTTTGCATCTCTTTCAGATGATTTATTAGTTCATGGGGGTGATGGTTCCTGCAAAGAAAAATTTACATTCTTAATATATTGAAAACCTGAAGGTACGTCTCTTTAATTTAATGGCTATGTCGTTACTGTAGAATTTTACTTTTGTGTTGATTATCTATGGCTTGTTCTTCAATGCATAATCTTCTTTATTAAATCTTTTGTCATGTTTTTTTCATTCACACTCTTGATCCTTGATAATTTGTAATTACTGATTATATTATTAGTTGACACATGTATAATACATTTTGTTTGATGTCTTAAGGGTCGTTTACCAAATACTTACCCGGTAAGTGCTTACCAATAAAATTTAACACTGTTATATATTTACCAGGTAAGATTTTAGTCCACCAAAATAACATCGTATGCAACAATTTGCCAAAATAACATAATATTTTAGTCCACCAAAATAAAATTTCTTGTAACAGGAGTTTTGACTTTGTTTAGCTGTATATAATACACGTAGCAATGGGTTCTTTCACGAGTCACGTCAAGCTAAAGCAAGAAAACAAGTTTCACGTCTAATCATTGATTTTTAACCATTTCACAATTTGTATTGATGCATTTGTAACGGAAGTTGATCTCCAAATTCCCTCACCCTAAATCAGCTTCTGCACCACATTTTTTATTATCATACATCATAGATTCATTTTTCCAAATGCAAGATATATTCCAGCTTTCTTTATTCTTATAGTACTGCCTTATGACGATGGTCTAGAAGCTACAGAGGCTGCTCTGGAGCTCGAATTCGTAGCCGATACTGAAACGGGGTTAAGCAGATGGATATGATGATGCTGATACACCATTATCCTCGAAATTGGTTGATGTGTTCCATCAATAGCAGGGATTCGGTTCTTTTTTCATTAAGCATTATGGAGTCGATGTGATGAGATTGATATCGTTGGTTATGCAACAATGGCTAAATGATGCTACTATTGATTTTTCGGTGCTGCCGATATGGGCTAAGGTTGTGCTTCCAATTACAGTGGATGATTGTTGTTTTTTTGAAGCTAAAATAGGGACTGCAAAAATGCACGGGTATGTGTAGTGGTGGCAATTTTGTACCAAACCAATCAAAGTATACAAACGGTACCAAATAAATTGGTATCAATCAACTGGTACCAATTTAAGTGGGTTGGTAGTGCCATATCAAGTATGCAAACTTGGTTGGCACAAGGTATTGGAAGTCGCATGCGAGGTTAGTACCATGGTACTGACTTATTGATTTTCTATTAGCTTTTGTATTTTTCATGTATTGGATATTAAACATTGTAACATTAATTTTTTTTATTTGAATGTTTTAAAAATTTTATTCCTCAATTAAAACCCTTAAACATCACATGTGTTACCAAAAAAACTCAATATGTCACTCAAAATTTGAACAAAATGTCAAGTTTTTGTATATGTAACATGAAGTTAGTACAAAACCGTTACCAACTGAAAAAGTTGGTACCAGTTAATTGATACTAAATAATGTTGGTTGATACATGGTATAAGATTTTGTATATCAATTATAATTGCTTGGTACATGATATTGGAGAATCTTACCGAAAGTCTTATCCGTAAGTGAGGTGAAGACTCTTACCCTATTAGCACTTATCGGATAAACTGTTGCATACGATGTCGTGTTCATGAACTAAAATCTTATCCGGTTAGATAAGTGATAGTGTTGGATTTTACTGTTAAACGCTTACCGAGTAAGTATCTGAGTAAAACAACCCCTTAATAACTTTCTAGGTCAAGTTACCTAGTTATATATTAAACAAGGTTAATCAGTAATATTTTAGTTTCTATCTTATTCTTAGGTGGAACAAGAACAAACCTTGTTTGTCGGACGTTGCCCTAGTTCTTATCCTTGTCCCATGTTGCACCAGACGTGAGACAGTGAGTTCTTATCCTATACTATTCTAACTCATTAATTTAAAAACTCATAAGAAAAATCAACAGATGTAGTTTTTATAGGAACCTTTTGTGGGTCTCCTGTATTATTTTCAACATTAATAATTAATATATATTTATAAATAAATATCAAATATTTAATTTATTATATATAAAAAATTACAAATTATCATTTTTATACCAACTTATAAATAAGAATCAAGATTCTTATACAAAATTTAAAGATTGATAAGTGTTTATAAGAACTTTCCACAAGGGGTTATTTACCAAACATTTACCCGGTAAGCATTTACTGGAAAAATTCAATATTATTATTTACTTACGGGGTAAGATTCTAGTCGACAAATACTGCTTTTTATGCAACAATTTACCCGATAAGAGTTGACCTTAATAAAAGTCATTGTCCTCACTTATCCGGATAAGACTCTCGACCATTCCCTCGTTCTTGTCGGATAAGATTTTTAGTTGTTAACGTACTCATTGCATCAAAGATTTCTTGAAACCCATAAAACTAAAGCATGTAATTTGCAGTCAACTTTAAGAATAAATAAATAAATCGAGAAGTGGGAAACACGAAAAGGGAAGTTTTGGGAGAGATTATAGCATCGGGAGAAGAAATCTTAGTAATTGAATGAATGAGCACTCCATGCCCACCTTCCCTACTTTCACTCGCCATTGATGCTGCACTCTTCAATCTCCACAATATCTCCGATCTCTCTTTTCTTCCTGAACACCTCCTCATCGATCTCTTCCTGGTTAGTTTCTTTCTCTACACTCTGATTCTAGATTTCTGTATTTCTTCATCATCATCATCACCCACTTGGTGTTCGATTGATTACCGCCACTTCTCATTTTCATCTTGTTTTTCCTATTTTGATTCCGAACTTAGTCGTTATGGGTGTCTGTCTGTGTGTGTTCTTTCTTTTCATCGTATCTAAATGTTCAATTTATCGGGAAGATAATCAGAAAAAGAAATTGGAAAACGAATGGGAATTGGGATCAATTGATAATTGACCTAATATACGAACTCGGATTCTTGATTAGTGTCTGTGCACTTATTTGTTACTGTTGTTGATTGTGTTTATACATATTAATTTGGAGGGCTTCTAATTCTTGATTAGGGAATCACATGGAAGAAAATGGGTATTTTGTTATGTATTTATTGAGGGTTGAGATGGCTAGATCCCTTAATGGCATCATCCATGGCAAAAGAAGCATAACCTTTAAAATATGAGCTAAGGTTGGATGTTAGATTTGTGTACTTGTGTTTGGTCACTGTGGTTTCTGAGTCGGATTACGTGCACCTTGACTAATCTCATGGGACCCTAAAGTTAACCTTAAGACAACCCCCCTAACCTTGAGGGGACTTGAACTTTGCCCTAAAATTAACAGTCGGACAAAACGCTTCAATAACCTTGATGGGACTTGAACTGGGCCATGAAATTAACAGTCTGACAAACCCTCATGTAACCTTGAGGGGACTTGAACTAAGCCATGAAATTGACAGTCAAACAAACCTTCCGGTAACCGTGTGGGGACTTGAATTGGGTCCTGAAATTAACGGTTAGACAAACCCTCCAATAACCTTGAGGGACTTGAACTGGGCCCTGAAAGAATTAACTGTTAGACAAACCCTCTAGTAACCTCGAGGGTACTTGAACTAGTGACTTTGGTGGAGCTTTCAAAAGTTAACATCGTGTACTCATGTTACAAACTCTCTATCCTGATGATGGTGAGATTCTACAAAATTAAGGCAGAGTAATGTCATCATAGTGATTGTGGGTTTAATCTAGTGTTTCATATGGTTAGACTCATCACGTTATGGATTTTTTTTTTAATTAATCATTTGGGATTTCAGGTAGTTTAGATTTGGGTTTCGTTAGGTACAAATTTCTTCAGTGAGTTCTGTTTTGTCTTTAAATAGTTTCATTCGCCCCAGTTGACGCTAGACTTTCTATATCTATATAAGAAATGTGATCCCCGTTATTGATTGATAGATGATTGAATGGAAGAGTTATTTAGCGTCTTATTTGCCTATAAAAAGTTATACTCCCTTCGTCCCATGAAAATTGCAGCGTTTGATTTGACATACAATCTCGGACTCACATTGTTTAATCTATTCATCAAATATCAAAAATACCGTTCAGTAAACACAAATGGATGATTTTAACATATGCAAAAGTTCCTGAAAAAGAAATGTTGCAAATTTCATTGGAAGCGTTACTCTTTCTTTTTGTTACATTTTCACTTTCTCTTCGGGTAAGTTTAGAATCATTTTGTGGTGCTAACTTCATATTTTACAGAGAACCCTCAGGGCCGGGAAACTAACCGATAGGATTTTGAGGATTTTCGTGGCAACTGGGAAGGAAGAAATTCTTTCTGTGATTCAAGCGCTTAATATTCAGTTTGTTCTTACCCCTGTCCTCCCGACTAGTAAGTTATGCTTCAATCATCCAATTTGCCTCTTTTTAAACGAAACCATTCTCAAAATCTTTTTATAAGCCGGGGGTTGTGACGGAAACAGTATCTCTACTCCTTTGGCTACAGGTAAGGTCTGCATACATCCTGCACTCCCTAGACCCTACGCAATGTAGGGTCTTTAAAGAAACAATCTCTCTACTCCTCGGGGTAGAGATGCATGCTACACTTTCTAGACCCCAGTCTATGTGGATTTATTGGGGTCTTTACAGGGACAACCTCTTTACTCCTCTGGGTAGCTAAGGTCCGCCTACATTCTACGTTTTCTAGACCCTACTCTGTGTGGATTTACTGGGGTCTTCACAAAAACAACCTTTGTACTCATAGGGGTAGAGGTAGAGGTAGAGGTAGGTCTGCATACATCTTACACTCTCTCGGTGTGGATTTATGAGGTTTTTACAAAAATAGTCTCTCTACTCCTGGGGTAGAGGTAAGGTCTGCGTACATTCTACACTCTCTAGACCCTACTCCGTGTGGATGTACGGGGGTCTTTATGGAAACTACCTCAACTTCTCAGGGTAGAACCGTAGAGGTAAGGTTTGCGTACATCCTACACTCTCTAGGCCCTACTCTGTGTGGATTTATTCGGGGAATCGGGTCTTAACAGATATAACCTCTCTACTCCTTGGGGTAGAGGTAAGGTCTTCGTATCTCTTACACTCTCTAGACCCTACTCTACGTAAATTTATGGGGCTCTTTATAGAAACCTCCTCTCTACTAAGGTTCTTTTTACATCCTACACTCCCTAGACTCTACTCTGTGTGGATTTCGAGGGTTCGTTTGGTTTGGTTTGCTATTTTTTGACCTTTGAAACATGTATGACAGGATGCTCGGACAAGTTCTAAGGCTGAGCACGGGTTGAGCTCATCCACTCGACTTCACTAATTTTCAGGTGCACCAAAAAAAACTGTTTGATTTTTGTTTGGATCGCCTTCTTTCTGATTTTATCACAGTATGTCTCAAGTAACCATCGATAGCAATGAGGTTGATATCGTGATTGCTGCTTTTCATTCTGACCTTACCTCCTTCATGGAGGAATGGAGGCCTATATTTTCCCGATTCCATTTGATAATAGTCGAAGATCCTGACCTCAAAGAAGAACTCAAAATCCCGAAAGGCTTCGACTTTGATGTCTACACCAAATCAGACATAGACAAATTAGCCGGTTCTTCCAATGCCGCCATGTTTTCTGGATATTCATGCCGCTATTTCGGCTATCTTGTTTCGAAAAGGAAGTACATAATATCGATCGATGATGATTGCAGTCCAGCGAAAGACAACAATGGCGATTTGGTAGATATAGTCACCCAACACATCACCAACCTTAGAACTCCGGCAACTCCGTTCTTTTTCAACACGCTCTACGACCCTTATAGGAAAGGAGCGGATTTTGTTCGCGGGTACCCTTTTGGCTTACGAAGTGGGGTCACTTGTGTTCTTTCATGTGGACTATGGCTCAATTTAGCAGACTATGATGCACCCACACAGTCACTGAAACCCGAACTTCGGAACTCGAGGTATGTCGATGCCGTTTTGACCGTACCCAAGAATACGTTGATGCCCATGAGTGGAATCAACTTGGCGTTTGACCGTGAGATGGTGGGTCCTGCCCTTTTGCCGGCTTTGAAACTGGCGAAGGAAGGGAAGTTTAGGTGGGAAACCATCGAGGATATCTGGTGTGGGCTTGTGGTGAAGGCGGTGTGCGATCACTTGGATTTGGGCGTGAAAACCGGGCTTCCGTATGTCTCGAGGAACGAAAGGGGAAGCGCTATCGATAGTTTGAAGAAAGAATGGGAAGGGGTTAAGCTGATGGAGGAGTTGGTTCCGTTTTTTCAGTCGTTGAAGTTGTCGCCTGAAGCCGTTACGGCTGAGAGTTGTGTGACGGAGATAGCCGCTGCGGTCAAGAAGGGGCTCGGGCGGTCGCACACCGAGCTGGCTAACGTGGCTGATAGTATGGTGGCATGGTTAAAGATCTGGAAGGAAGTTCGATCTCGGGTTTGAGGTGGTTTGTTTTTGTTACCGAAAGGGAACCAAATTTGGAAATAAATAATGTAGGATTTCTTTTGTTAACTTCTGTTGTTATGATTTAGACTTCATGTGTTTTTTTCTTATTTATTTGATTATTTGAGAGCATCTACAATATAACAGTATTTGACAAAAACTCTTAAAATTTATTTTTTATGTATGAAATATTTTTTAGGGAAAAGTACAATAAAAACCAATGAACTTTMTTGTTTKGAATGATTAAGTCCTTGAAMTTTTTTTTGGAACAAATAAGTCCTTGAACTTTCCAAAACATGTTAAATAAGTCCTTGGACAATTTTTTGGCACAAATAAGTCCTTGGACATTCCAAAATATATTAAATAAGTCCTTAAACATTCTAAAAAATGTTAAATAAGTC